AGCTGAAGCAATAGTTCTAACTATAGACCACAATGTCTTGACCAACAATAGATGAAAAGATTAACAAAAAATTATGAACATGTGAAGGGAAAAAATCTGAAAGATAACAATGGTTATCTTTGAGAATAGGACTGAAGAAGTACCTGGTTTGATTTTTAGACACCTGAGGACAGACAATGCAGTGGACATGTAGACACCTGGGGCATGACCTATGGACAGATCATCAGGTGGACCTTTAGAGAGGGATGGGCCAATAAAATATGTCTTCAAACTGAATATGCAATGTAAATCCCTTTATTGTCCCACAACAGGGGAAATTGGTTCTCAGCAATCAGAGGTTAAGGGTTTTGCTGAGGAACCCAGAGTGCAGGCTGTGGGGATCGAATCAGATACTTGCAACCTTCTCAGAGCACAAGCACACTGCTCTAACCACTAGACCAACCAGAGGGGGGTTTACCATTAGGCAACACTAGGCAGATATCTAGGGCCCTGAGTTCCTGGGGGTCCCACAAAACTCTGTTTATATGTATAATTAATACAACTATTCCTGATTTGTACACATCAATAGTATTTTTCATAAAGAATCCTTTCGCTAAAATACCATTAAAATGCTTAAAATATTAAGCCCCCCCCCATCACAATAATATTAAGCCCCCCCCCCCCATCACATTGGATCAGTCCATTTGCTGCACATGTTCAGAAAGGTCCAAACAGACAGCAGCAAACCCTTTGAAAACAAACAATGCGAACAGCATTGTTTGTTTTGAACAGTGTTGCCAACTTAGCGCTTTTGTCACTATACTTAGTGACTTTTCAGACCCCTGTACTGTTTTTATTTCAAAAAAGGACCTGGTGCCAAATCTAGCAACTTTTTTCTTCTACTGGAGACTTTGACGACAACATATAAAGGCACCCAACTCTGCTCTCCAGAGCAAGTAGATTGGTAACCCCGCGCCCTGCTCTCCTCTATCTTGTCTGTTGTCATGATTCATGCAGCTATTATTTCATAAAAATGAAAAATGGAGAACAGATAAGCAGATCATGGTTTGTCTACAGTGAAAAGAAGGACTTTTGCTGTCACCTTTTTGGAAACACAAGAAGGAGCAATCAGCTAAGTGAGCTTAGTGACTGGAAAAAAATCTTTCATTCCTGAAATAAGAGGGATGAAACGTAGAACAAATAATGTATAATCGGTCTGTTTTCTGTGTCGTCTTCTCAAATCAGAGGGCCCCCTGCCTGTCTTTGCCTAGGAGCCCAAATTTCCTAAATCCGCCCCTGAGGCCAACACTCCCCTGGGACTGAGTACAAGTGTTTACAGTCTTACCTACTTGTCAACACCGAGTACAGACAAGAATGCTACATAAAAGCATAGCCATATTGAAGAATATTGATTACCAGGCTTTACTTCAGGTTTTAAATCAGCCGAGAAACAGTAGAGGGGACTTTTGTCCACATTAGGGAAGCACGTCTTGACAGCTATGGTCGACCTCTTTGTTTTGATACTGTGATCTACAACAAACATAGAAGTGGTATCAGACCAATATCAGTGGTATCAGGTTTATTAACAAGCATGAGTGGTTAACAGTGTATCAGTTCATCTATAACCTCCAGGTAGATCTGATTTAGGTCTTATGAATAACTTAAAGGGGAACGCCATTTTTTTTTCACATCGGTCCCTTGATTTTACATCATGTTCTACTCACCCATATGAGTTTTGTTTCATTTGGAGCCGTTCTGAAGATATTTGGTTTTGTTATATCCAAGTAACGTCTTCCTATGGGCAAACGACTTGAAGGCAAAAACTAAACTGTTCATAATTTATTCTTTATGGTACACCAGCATTCATAACATGTAGGCGAATCACTGTCCCCCAGACATCCACGGTTATATATTTTATATTTATATATTTTTAAAACAAAGCGGAGTGTATATGTCATCAGTGCGCGCCGGCTACCGTTCATTCATCCTGTCTGCTGAACTGCTGCTAGATTTACTCACATGCCTGGAAGATGTCTAGTGCTACTACCACAGATGATCTCGCTCTCCAAATGGAATCGAACGATTCAGATTAGCTAGCCGAATGAATATAAGGGATAGAGCGTAGCCGCCTTGTGTAATGTACATTGGTTAAACAAAGTTTCTTTTTGAAAAAAAAAAAAAAACTCCAGTCCGGTTTAGTTTGTGCCTTCAAGTCGTTGCCCAAAGGAAGACGTTACTTGGATATAACCTAACAGAATATCTTCAGAACGGCTCCAAATGACACAAAACTCATATGGGTGAGTAGAACATGATGTAATAACGCAAAATCAAGGGCCCAATATAAAAAAAACAGTGTTCCCCTTTAAGTACAACCTAAGAATAGATCATGCAGTAAATCTGTGAAGAGGATGGACCTGTGGACAGGTCAACAGGTGGGCCTCCAGATAGTTCTGAATATGGCTTAAGGTAATGTCTCATGACAGATCAGTGAATGAACCATATGGACAGGTATCCTATAGTTGATATGGTGTGAGGGTCAATGGGTCGATGCAATCTGCTGGTTTTCCTTAGATAGAAAACTATAACCAGTCTGACTGTACGATCGGTTTGAATTGTATCGGTAAAGTGCCGTGTTGTGAATTGGCGGTACTATATAAACAAGCTGAAGTGAATTGACAGACATGAGGACAGAACTAGGGACCTGTTTGTTGTTTTTGGACTATTTTGTAGATGTAGTTTGGATTTCTTGTCTAAAGCTGTTCAGGCAAGACAAAAAGCAGTCTACTACAAGACTCTTGGTACCAACCTTCTGTCAGTTTATTGGTATATGAAGGAGTTTTGGTAATGCCCTAATTTATAAGTGGCTGGAGGAGGTTTGGTACCTGCTGTCAGAACAGAGCCACTTTGTTTGCATTATATGCTGAAATAGTTGACTCAGAAATGTGCTAAATCTGCTGTAAGAGCATTTCTTTTGTATATAACTTTAGTTAAAAACACCCAGAAGCAGGTCGGTCAGCATTTGTCAGGGGTCTTAGCATTCAGGTGGACACAAACTGTCTCCGTCAGGACAGCTGCTGGTCTTTACTTCTTTTTTCCCCTCTATTTTTAGTTCTTCTTAAACAGAACAACTTATTTTTGCTCTTCTGATTCACTGCAGGACAGCAAAAACTCATAGGGAACTGGCTGATGTCTCATCACTGCCTAGCGGTGACATAATCCAGTCCTAGCTAATATCTCCAGGTCCTGCAGGTTAAAACCTTGGACCAGTATTCAGAGAGAACAACATCTGCTTAGGTCTGAGAGAATATGTGGACCAGTCTGGTTTTAGTTTTTAACCAGTAGCATTGATTCTTTCTGCCAGCTGATCAGTGCTGTCCCAGAGGAAGGAAGGAAGAATCTGTCTCACACAAACCAACAATCAGAATGATGCTTAAACCTCCGCATTTAGTTTCAGTTTTAATTTTAGACCAGTGATGAAACTTTTGTTTCTGTAATACAATTTGCATCAGAGGTTCTCTTAAGACAGTGTTATACTAAAGTGAGGTTTTAGGACTACAGGGTAATTCAACTTTAACCTGAGCCTTCAGCTGGTTCTGCTCCACTATATTGGAAAGTTGTTCTCTCAGCCTCTGTTGTTTAATGGATCCCTGACACTCGATCTGACATCACACTGAAACCTCAGGACCAGTATTTGACTCAGAACCACCGCCGACACACAATCCCCCATTGTTGAGAACCAGAACACCTGAGGTCCTCGAGGACTGTGTTTGAAGGATTCATCTCAGACGTCAACATGCAGCTCATCAGGGTCATATGACCTGTCGAAGGGTAACCACAGAAACCACGTCTATGTGACAAATGCTGTAATACATCACACATGAGGGGAGGTTTTTAAAAAAAAACATAAACGTGAAAAACATGTTTACACTGTAAGTTTAATTATCCAAGATAAAATCTGAGTTTATTCTGGGTTCTGGACCGGTTCAGGGTGCGGATCCCACATAAGTGGTGTTGGATATGAACACAACCTGGGCAGAAGCCCCCAGTAAAACTATTCAGACCTCATTTAAAACATCTGTGTCATTTTTGGTTCCAGTTTGACCTTTTTTTTTTAGTTCACATAAGAAATTCTTTATCAACTGAAGAACTTTTCCAGAACTTGACTGTTTATATTGATCCAGTTTAGACATTTGATCATAATCATAATGGCAGCAGCTTGCGTCTTTACCAAAATGAACAGAATGCCAGAAACGTGGGTGAATCTGTGCGGAGCTTAAATTTAATCCAGCCTCATCATAAATCATATACATCTGCTGCTTTTAGTACATTAATGTGACTGTAGGAGAAAGTTTCTCTGTGGCACAAAATTAAGCTCAGTAACTGTATTACTTTTATCTCCTGCATAGGAGAAACCAGCATTTAAAGTTTTTGCTCCAAAGTGCATATAATTCTGTGTATTCCAAAGGTTTTAGACATTTTCAGGTTTTATAAACTCTTAAGTTAGATATTGATCATTTTCATTGGCTAAATATTTACATTTTTGTAATCGTTTACGGTTTTTGTCAGATATATTTATTTCAGTTTGCACATGTGAACACAACTCCTCTATGATTGCAGAGAAAGACCAGAGAAGCAGCTCTAATAAATCTCATTTAAAAGTCTAACAGCTATGTTACAGCATTCATATAAAAAGTCATCTCTAGATAAAAGCTGAAGGGGAAAATCTCAGTGTCGCCTCCTAGTGGTTCAAACCTTAAGCTGCTCATGGTAACCATGCAACACTATATTCTCTCACCCTTACAAACATCTTGGTTCCACCGATAGGTTCACTTTGGGGGCCGGTTGCAGGTTTTTCTTGGTGCCTGGTGGGATCGATGACTCAGGACATTCAGAGAGAAACCTAAGAATTTTTCTCAGTAAAAACTATTTGAAGGATATAATCAAACCAGACCCGCATGGGCCAGCCCCATCAGAACAGGAGAGGAGGAGCCTAAAGATGGATTGAAGGAAGGAAAGCAGCAGAAACTAACAAGAACTTTATTGAAAAAAATAAATCAGTTATTTTTTTACTAACAGAGAAAAGCAGGTCAGAAAATGTAAAGGCAGCAGGAACACAGCCTCCCGGCAGGTCCTGACCATGATAGTGTTGCAAAGCACTTAACAGGGATTTTATCCCTGAAGGCATCGACTTTTCTTCCTCTGTTATAGAAGTAATGATGCTCCTGCTGCAGCTGAGGGGGCGGAGCTTCATTTAAACCCCCTAATCTGTACAGAGACAGGAGATCAATAACCATTTGGATTATTAAAAAGCTTAGTTTTACCAACGATTAAAGGCTTTGCACACTCCAGAGAGCCGTCTTCCTTGGTGTGATCTAATGCAGTGCGTTGGGTTCACAGTCATGATTTATCACACAACTGCTGGCGCTGGGCACGTCAAAAACAAAAGAAAAAAAAATGCACTTACAGGAAGCAAAAACCGGTGATAGAATCTGATCAGAGGTCACCTGGAAGTGTGGTTCTTTCAAAATAAATTGTTTTTATTTTCTGTTTGGGGGGGAAGCAGCTGAGCAGGAGGATGAGCAGCTTGGAGAAAAGATCTCTGTTAAAGTGGTCTGTTTGCCTCTGCTGGATGAAGAGGACGATGAGCTGAGGGAGGCCCTTCTGGTCGAGGCCGACCGAGGGGAAGAGGAGCTGATGGAGCTCCTGGAGGATTTATGGGTCCTGCCTCCGCCTCGTCCTACTGGGGGTGTCTGTGATGGCCCCGCCTCTTCTGTCTCTCCTTTCTGGTGGCGAAGCTGGTAGGCATCGGGGGACCCTTTGCTCCGGTCTGCTGCTCTCCGTCTCTCCTCCTGATCGAGCTCCTTCTGAAGGAGCAGAGCAAGGCGGCGGTCCTCCTCCTCCTGCCGCTGCCTCAACTGGAGCTCCGCCTCCCAGTAATTTAAGGGCCCCGCCTCCACAGGTACAGGGGAGGAGACCAGGACGCCTTTGGTGGTCACTTCCTGCTCATCTGCAGCGTCTAGCTCAGAGCTCTTCCTCTTCGATGAGGATGGTCTTAACTGGTCTGATAGCAGGCGGGGTCGCTCCATGTGAAGCTCCGCCTCCAACAGAAGGATGTTCTCCTAAAAGAGAATGTTAAAATACATGCTGTCATGAATGAATATCAGCTGTAAGGACTGGAGGTGATGTTAAAACTGACCTTATTGGTTATATAACTGGGGGCGGAGCTTTGAAGAGTGGAACGGGGAGACAGGAACCTGAAACAAAGTTAAACATGTCACTTCCTGTCAAACAGATCATGTACCTGAACCTGAGAAACAGACAATGAAAAAAGGTTCAGCTGCTGGAACCAGGTTCAACCAACTGAGAACCAGTTTGATATTTTTGATAATTGATCTCGTTTGTTTCCAGTCGATCCTTCCTATTGTGGCCACCTGACGCTCAGAGCGGGGAAGTTACAGGCTTCACCAACTCATGGAGGCTTTATAAGACCTTTATAAATTAAATTTAAGACCGCCACGATACAGAAATGTACAAAAGAGCAGCAGCAATTAACTCACCTGCAAATATTACTTTATTCATCTTTACCTAAATTAACATCTTTACTAAATTAATATATACAATAACTGTGGCAGTGAGCATGTTTGCTAAATGGCCATATATAATTATCTTTTTTCTTATTTATCGTTTTAAAACATGACCTTTATTTTAGTAATGAGTTCTCTCCAGATAAACTCTACTAGTCTTAACTGGGTTACATATGCCGTTAAGATTTTCTTCCAAACTCCTCAACAATAAACCTGGAAACAAGGTTAAGATTAAGCATCTGTTTCATAGATTGCACTGTTTCAGTACCGTTTAAAGTCTACGTTGTAATGTAGCTGTGTTCTGATGACGACACAGTGATCCTTAATAGGAAATCCAGAGCTTTTGCCTCTCCAAGGCAGTCTGGTGACACCAGCAATAGTGCTGTGGTTTTTCTATAACCACAGCAGTCTGACTGTTAGCGGTCATGTCTCGGGTCATTCACATGAGGTTTGATGCCTTTTAAATGAGAATCGACACCCATAGGCCTAAAGTTCCCGCTTTTAAGAATAGTGTCTTTAAATTAGCTGTTAGAAGTGCTTTTAGAAGCCTTTAATCAAGCATTAAAAGTTTTGCTTTTAAAGCCTAGCGTAGGTTAATGCTCAGAGTCCGATCTCTGCTGATGATGTCGAAATATGGCGACGCTATTGAGACAAACTGTTTTTTAACAGTATACAAGAATCAAATCTTTTCTAGAGTTTTGATTTATTCTTATTACCTATATTTTCTATTATTTCAAGTTTCTTTGGTGATCTAAGACTTAGCTCTTCCATTTAATAAGGTGAAAAAAAAAAGTTTCTGAACTTCTTGTACTTTTATTGAGATTTGAAGGGAGGGAAGGACAAATAGAACATCTTGGAGATTTTAGAAAGAAAACCAGTTATTCTAGTACTGTAGAAAACAAATGGTTGTTGTTGACACAAAGTTAAAGGCACACTATGCAACATTTTTCAGTTAATTAATGTGTTCCATATCGTTTTGGATGATTAAATGAGTCATTTCAGGTTGAACAAAGGTATTCTCGGCCGCCCTGGTGGTCTGTGGGGGAAATACCGCACTTGCAATTGCAGGAGCACCGACCCGCACCCACAGGCTCAGAAGTCTCGCGAGAGTCAGTCTTGCTTTACGGCGAGAACTGCTACACCCCCCAGTTAAAAGCATTCTCGTTGCTAGCACAGTGGCGATCTTTGTGCAGTTATGCTACGTTCACGCAGCAAAAGCAGCAAAATCGCGTCTGCTGCTTCATTTTTGCTGCTTATACCAGTTAGTTCTGACGCACGGCTGAAGCAACTTTGCTGCTCTGGCTGCGCGGTGCAAAAGTGTGTCTGACGCGCGTTGGGCGGAGCTACCCTATCCTTTCTCTGCCTTGCAGCTATATTTGCTGTGATCAGTGGTAATAAAGTAGTTTTAATATGTTTTTAAGTGAGAAAATACACCTGAAAACGTAATCAGTGCAGTCAGTTCATTCAGATTATTATCCTGCTTTCAATATTTTTTCTGTCGGAGCCGCTCAGACCCCCACATACCAGCGGTGCGCCGACAGTAGGGATCCCTTCATCAGCAGCCTCTGGCCGGGTCGCCTCCTCGCGGTTCACCGCGGCAGCTGGTAGGTGTTTTTTATCTAAATAATCCAAACTGCATATTCTGCCGGCAGATTTCTGCATTTTAAGTTAATTTAGGCGTCAATAAACTGTTTAAAGAGGAGAGATCATAGCCTCTGATCATCAGCGCTGTGTCTCTCTCCCTGCGTCAGCTGCTCAGACGCGCTGCGCCTGCTGCTCAAAACGCGCCGCGGGACGCTGCACCTTGACGCGCGTCAACCATTGACCTTGCATGTAAACTCGCTGCTTCTGTCGCGCCAGCTGCGGTGTGAACGCAGCATTAGTCATTCGTTGCGTTCGCCTGTCTGCTAAGCTCAAAACAACCGCGCCTGGCTTGACGGAGAAACCAGGAGAACAGCTGTGCATATTTATGACAGTGCACTTTTACTTTCGCCCTCTGGGGGGAGCCTCGCTGGAAAATCAACACCGGTTGCATAGTGTACCTTTAAATGTTATGTAGCTTAATTTGGCTAACTGACAGAGCTAAACCAGGCTAACCTGTTAGCGACTGAGCACAGCTAGCCACAGCACTACAGAGCTCTGCCATTTATACTATTAGTTAACCAAATACAGATGTTTTCAGTTTCGTTACCCATCGGGTAAAACTTTACCAATCATTAGACCCACAATGGGGGCCGACTCAGCACACGGATGCTGCATTATGTTATTACCGTTGCCATGTGAAAATATAAAATAAAGTTTAGACAAAATAAGATGTTAAAAAAATATAACTTCTATCATTTTTCATGTTAAAAGAATTGGAATGGCGAATCGACAGAAACTGGAGTCCAAACGTTTTAATTCCTTGGCCATCTTGAACTTAAAGACCTACTAAAAATGATTTAAGACTTGATAACTTGGTGAATTTAAGACTTTTTAAGGCCTTAAACTTACACCTTTTAGAACTTTAAGAGTTCAAAATTATGCTAATTTTTTTTAATTTACAAATATGAATGAGGCCAAATCATGCTTTTGTCATGTAAACAGAATTCCTCTCAGATTAGGCAGAAAGCCTTTACCAAAAATCTCTTTATTCTGCCCTTTTCTGGATGAGATGTTTTGGTTTTTAAAGTACCGGTTATCCTGAAGGCTGCGTTCCCATAACCAGCAACCATGAAAACCAGTTCGACTTAACAACGATAGCGGCAAGGAGAGCAGCATGGATAGAGAGATGCTGAGTAGATGCGGAGGTAGAGAACAAACATAGTTCATACAAACCATGTATGATCCTAGTTATCCCCACAACAAAAAGAAAATATTTGTCATTAAATTAAGCGTTCATTTCCGCATGTTTTGCACCTATGAATTTACTAATAATATAGCACACGCACACATGTAAATCAGAGCGGAGCAGGATGGGAGGAACAGCGGAGGCTGTAGGCTTTGCTTTGCGCATGAGGTCTGGAACGGAGCGGGGCGGTGACAGAGGATGTGGGATTTAGGTGTTAAAAGTCGTAGGGAAATCGTATTTAAATGTCAAATCATTCTGGCTTAAACATGTATATAATTGTACCCTGTATCAGAGCATTTTGTCCCAAAATTTTGAAAAATTTCCCCCCCGGCACCTTATTCAGGCCAGTTAGTTATACGTCAGCTTGTACACCTAAATTCCGCCAGTCATATATTAACTGTCATCTGTCAATCAAATTATTTCAGTCATAGCATCTTGATTCATATGTCGCAGCTAATAATCGCAACGGTTAAAATCAGAAACATTTCCTTTCCCATTGAGTTCTGTCCCAGTGTTCACGGGGATGGACGTCTGTGTCTTCAGCAGCCTTAAGCTAACAGAACTGGCAGCGTTGCGAGGCAAGGGCTCATACATGGACGGCTGTAAGCCTTCTACACCAAACCAAGCTTCTGGCGCCCTGGCGTCCTCTTCCACAGCATCTTCGTCCCCGCTTTCCTCCTCTAAATAAAAAATGTATGATGGTGGAGACTCATCCACGACCTCCGACACAAAACTCTCCTCCTCTTGCATGTTTCCTCTGTCCATAGCGTTCCTTGACAGTGTCGTTTCTAAGTCACCAATTTAGTGCTAATTGGTCCCAATGGAATTTCCTATTGGGAACCTACTAGCACTAAGTTGCTAAATGGTTAGCAAGATGCTTCCAAGACACCGGCCACAATCAAACTTGTGAACCTTCTGCCACAACAATCCTGCCCCTTAATAAATGACCAAGCACATTCACTTTATTCACTCGTGTAAAGTCGTGCACCACTCGGGGGAATTCAGAAATGCAACGATTGGAGCAGCCGCTCCCCCACGACTCTAAAGCTTCTTGTTGGAATTGTTTAGACAGAAAGCTCTGATCGGCTGACATTCATTGCTTTTAAAATGGGGGCCTGATGGAAATAAAAAAAAAAATTATATATATATATATATAAAAATTAATTAAATCAGATTACTGGCTATAAATACTTGCTAGCAGTAATTAATAAGGATGGGAATCGAAAACCGGTTCCTGTTCAGAACCGGTTCCGTATTTTCATCGTTTGGCAGCTCGCTGAACGATTCTTTTTTCGATTCCCGCAGCACCAGAGCCTAAAGTGCCGGCTCTGGGGAGCACGACTTACATCACGTTTTTTACGCAAGTTACGCACACGGCGTTCAGAGGGCAAGTACGGAAGACAACGAGCTGCGGTCACTTTGTGAATCAAAGCCCCGTCTTTCCTTAGCCCAGAGGGTAGATCAGGAAATCCAGCTCTATAAAAGCTTGCCCTCCATCCCCTGCAGGGATAGCGCCACACTGTGGTGGTGGAACAAGCAAGATACGCTGCCCTTGCTATCTGGACTGGCTGAAAACTACCTCTGTGAACAGGCTTCCTCCACCCCGACCCTAGTAATTAATCTCCTACACCCGCCCCTCAGGTGTGACTCACCTGTCCATGTTTCCTACAATGACGTCCTTCTTCTTCACTGGAGGGGTGTCGGGAACCTTGAGCTTTTCTTGGGAATTCTGTAAGGGGGTTAAGACAACTTAACATAACCCAAAACAATTGATGTCGACATTAGTGTGTATTAGTGGCATCTCTGACCAGCTGGCAGCTCAGCTGTTTGGCCAGCTGCTCGTCCTCCTCCTTCCTCCTCCTCTCCTCCTGCAGTTGCTGCTGCTCCTCAGCGAGAAGCTTCTGGATCAACTCCTCACTGGCTTTGCTCTCCTCTTCATCCTGAGTCCTCCGCTCCTCCATCAGCTGACGGGAAACAGACAGTCATGTGACCTCATTCTGCATCATCACCCTCACCGCTCCAGTTGTTTCCAGAAACAGAACAGCTGCTAGGAACCAATTTACCTGAAGCACACAGAACTCACACTTGGACCGAAACTGGGTCACGTCTGTTGACACCGTTACCATGCCAACACCCAGAGTTGCAGGCATGTTTATGTAAACCAGAAAGGTTTTCTGTTTCTTTTTTTTGTTTTTTTTTTTTAAATTAAAGTTCAACATAAACAATTATCCTCACATCACAATAAGCCAGAATGAACTGACAGTGAGCCTCAGTGACTTCTGGATGGATGATCTTTTCCATCCGTTCTAATAAAATCCCATCCTGACCGTACCTTGGTCACCTGATCCTCGTACTCCTGACGCAGCTCTCCAGGAGAGCAGACTCTGGGAATGGGCACGAAAACTGGGAAAAAAAGGAAACACACAAATAAACATGGTTCTGTTAGTGATGCAGAGCTCAGGTTGATGTCAGCAGCTGTCTCTGATCTCCGATCAGTGTTTCACAAACCCAAAAATGCTTCTGTAGGGTTTGCGGAATCAGTTTTCTTCCAACAACTGAATATCTTCACCCCTACATCCTCCTCTCACTCTAATCACTAATTAATACCATCAGTTGGTTCCCTGCATTTGGGCTGTAACAGAGAAGAACTGTGCCTGGATATGGAAACTGGTTTATCAACTTAATTTATTCTCGTAATGTTATGACATTAATTCTTGTAATGTTGCGACTATTCCCGTTGCGACTTTATTCTCCTAATTTTATGACTTTATTCTCTTATTTTTACAACTTTATTGTCAAAATAGGAAGAAAAAATCTCTAGCTTGGCCCTAATACTCCATCGTATTTTTGAGTTTAACTGAAACTGATTCATTTCATTAACCACCTAAAAAGCAGCAGAGTGATCTCAGCATGTTTATGTTGACTGACCTTCTAAGCATGTTAGAAAACAGCTTCACAAACCACAATTGAGAGCTGATTTTTGATCTGAAAACAAAAAACAGCGCTCAGAAAACAAGACGGCCATCTCTAAATAGAACCAGACCATCTGGCAATGCGGTAAGGTGACAGCTCGGCGTGGTCAAAGTCCAACCGACAACAGACAAAAAAACCTTGTATAAAATCGGAGTTACTGGCATATAAATGTAAAAAGAAAATGTCAAATAACATGACTAAACACATTTAATCAAACTGAGCAAAGGCTAAGCTGCAGTCCAATGCTCCTCAGCCTTGTGGTGTTTTACCAAACATTCCTCTATACTCCACTCGCTCAGAGGATCAGAATCCAAACCCTTGCTCAGCTTTTCTAGTCTTCATATTCTCCTAGCTTACCTGCGCAGTCATCCTCCTCAGCCTCCTGGCCGCTCAGGCGCCGCTGACACTGCAGAGGGAAGAAGGTCTGGATCTGGTCCCACAGCTCCTGATTTACCAATGTGTTCTTCTTACTGTTGAGCCGGGCCCAGGTGGAGACCCGCTTCCTGCACATGGGACAGCACAGCGTCGCCTTATCCACCGACTCCAGGAAGCAGCTCTGAAACACAGACACATGATAGGATCAGGCGTGAGACAGCAGCGCTGGAAAGGTTTTAAGAAAATAAACCTAAAACAGAAATAATTTAGGCTTAAACCGACAAAAAATATTTGGAGCCAGAGCGCCACCTGTTGGAGACGACAGCAAGTGGCCCTCTGAGAGCAGCTAATCAATAGTGATGGTGAGATAAAGCCTTATGAGGCATGGAACCATTTGGCCAAATTGCTTCAATGATCCAGACATTTCATGAAGCCTCATGTGAACATGTCACCACCTACTGGTGGAAAGCAGAACTGCAGTTACTTATATAATCTGATTTTTTTGCAATCGCTTTTCTTGTTTTTAACCCATATACGTTCCTTTGAAATTGTTAATGATTGGTCTGTATAATAAAATATTTTGTAAGATTTTATGTGTAAAATGTCTTGGAGAAAAGCACAGTTTTTCTGACATTTTAGTGAAATAATCTCAAGCAGATAGTGAAAGTGCAAATTGGGTGATCGATGAACAAAATGAAAGGCGTTAGTCAAAATACTTTTTCCAGAGTTTTTTTTTTAATCAGGTTGAAAGTTCTGTGTTCAAAAAATCTTTTGGTTAAACCAACCAATTTAACTTTGGCAGTGTTTTTTACCCAACCTATCTTTGTACTAGGGCAAACCAATACAAATTAGTCACATTAGCCAAAAAAAAAAAAAGTTTTATCGCAACTTTCAAAAAGTCTGATGTGGATCTTGAACCATCAACCTCAAAAGTGGAAGTCCATCTCTTACAGCTGACGACACTAGCAAGATAACAATAGATTCAATTTTGATCATTACATTGTTTAATCCAACCAATATAGTTTTAACCTACTAAATTTGTTGTTTTTCCAACTAATCTATTCTTAGAATCTATCCAAACTCTATCCAACTGACAGCGACTCTCCTACAAACTCCCACATCTTGACTGAATCCTGAGGCTTTTTAAATGCCTGTCGAAGTTCCGGGCAACCTGAACCACTTATTGAAGTGGTCACCTGGTATGGCGGGGCAATTAGGCTTCGCACGTCATCTATTTTGGCTCCTCCCCCAAATGAAGCAAACCTCGTTACGCACCTTGCGGAAACGCCCTCTCCAACACTCGAAACATGCGTCGAAGCCTGAGCTCATCTCATAACATCACTAGCAATCAAGTTCATGAACTTAACATAGAACTCTCGCGTTTCCGTAACCATGGTAACCTCAGCTCTAAGTGATCTCTTTGTTTCCAAGGAAACTGCAGCTTTACCTATAACCATTCTCAGTTCTCACAGTAATTTAACCTCTCTGTGGCCGGCGGTTACCTTGCAGAAGGTGTGTGTGCAGGGCAGGGTGACGGGCTCGATGAAGATCTCCAGACAGACGGGACACAGACAGTCTTCGCGGGATGGAGCCGAGTCCTTCCTGCCAACTTCCTCCACCTCAGAAATCGGAGACATCTTCCTTCTCCTCTTCACTTTTAATCGGGGAACAACTGAACACTGCAGAAGCAGAAACCATAATTATCCTCAGTGGTATAGTGACATGCGTGTTATTCAATACTGATCGGAAAATGTCTCTCTCAGCAACACTGCCCTATGACCTAGGATGGCTCGATTCTTTGTGTCTCTTCTAAAGGTTTATGCCGATTCTGTTCTGAATCTCTGCAAAGTTTAGCTAGGTCTGAGCTCTTTCAGTTCTTTTTCTATCAGGGAATGAAACATGGTTCCCATCGCTGGCAATGATCAGGCTGAGGCAGGATACATCGCAGACAGTCCACCATATAGGAACAACGAGACATTAACAGTTGTTTGTTTGGCATGGTTCTTGTTAAATTTGAAGTTGCATGATAATTTTAACTCTTATAATAAAGATGAGTTAAGTGCAGTTTTTTTTTTTTTATTGAAAGTTCAAAAATTTAAAATAAATGGAAGAAAAGCACAAACTACGAGACAACATCCTGATCTCAGTGAAAGGAAAAAACAAGAGCCCCAAAAGTCACAGTATTCCACCAGCTGAACTGGACCAGTCGGTAAGGAAATTATAACAGCAAATTAAATTACATCTGGATCTAAATTAGGGCTGCAACTAACGATTATTTTAAAAATCGATGAATCGGCCGATTATTTTTTCGATTAATCGATGAATCGGACAAAAAAAAAAATTATATTAACCTCTTTATTCCAAAGTAAACATTTTAGACAGAACAAACAAGCACACAAGTACAGGTTGCTCATTAACTGTACTGGTGCAATATGAAAAATAAATGTTTGCGTTAAAACTACGCAAACTTACATGAGAAATGTAGCTGTACATCCACAAAATATAGGGTACTTTGTTTCATAAAGCGCAAAAAAAGACATTTTTGTTTTTAAAAGCCCCTAAGGGGTTCAAACAATAGGCCCCCCCATTTCAACAAATTCTTTTTTTTTAGACTAGAAGAGTTCTGCCTTTTAAGACAGGAAAGTATAGCAGTTAAAGTTGCTACTTGAGAAAATACTGAACCATAGAGATAAAAATAGCCCTGTGATTCAAATTATAAATTGTATTTGGAATAAAAATTAGAGAACTAGGGGTGGTAAAACACACATCCTCCAAAGACTGATATTTACATGGGAATGTGGCAGATAATTAATTGACATATTACTGATCTTGCTAGATTTTATTCTGTTTTACTTCCATAAATTGCAGGATCTTCTTTTCTTTATCTTTGCCAGAAGATTTAAACTTTAAAAGCCTTGCCCTCATAATTTGCAAGTTAATTTATTTATAAAGAAAATATAAACGCTGCTTAAGCTAATTCAAATGAAATTAAAAGTAAAATAAGTAGCCAACCTTATCACTGTCTGTAACCTACTAACAAGGTAAGGAAAGCATCAGATGAGCTACCTGAGAAACTAACGTTACGTTTCCCCACTTTAAACGAAACAAGCATGGTTACTCATCCTGCTGATCAGCTCTCTTCACTGCCATTGAAGGCTCCAACGTGTTTTCTTTTCAGGTGCTGCGTCATAACAGTGGTGCTACCCTGCCATGTTCATTTGTTTTGACAAAAGTTGCATGTTACGACTTTTTTCACTTTACAAAGCGCAGGCTATTTTAACTATTGTGATCAATTTGCGCCATCAATCCCGGCGCAGGCGCGCTTCATTTGCAGTCTGGACGCTGAGGGTTAACTCCTCACTAAAATCCTGCGGCTCTGACTGCAGCGCTGAGAGGGATTCCTGTGGGAGAGGGAGAAAGGCGTTGGGATGGGGAAGGCGCCCCACAGCAGGCAAAAGCCGCCAGTGACACCGTAAAAAGTCGCCAGATTTGTCGCTAGTCGCTTTTTTGAAAAATAGTCGCTGGAGGGGTCTGAAAAGTCGCTGAGTTGGCAACACTGCAATTGCGGCGCTGACTCGCTCCGCCATATTTTTTTTTTCTTCCCCCGGATGACAGCGGCGGCGGATGACACATTAATCGCGCGACACAACTAATCGATGATTAAATTCGTTGCCAACGCTTTTAAAAGTCGATTTTTATCGATTCGTTGTTGCAGCCCTAATCTAAATCATTAAAGTCGTAGGAAAACGGCTGTTCCAACCGCCAAGTGGTGTCCGACTTTACACGAGTGAATAAAGTGAATGTGACTGCTCGTTTATCAAGAGTTGCGGAAAGTTCACCAGCAAGTTTGATTGTTGCCGGTTTGTCGGAAGCATCCTGCTTACCAGTTAGCAACTTAGTGCTAGTAGGTTCCCGATGGGAAATTCCATTGGGACCAAGTAGCACTAAATTGGTGACTTAGAAAGGACACTGTCAAGGAACGCTATGGACAGAGGAAACATGCAAGGAGAGTTTTGTGGTTTTCGGATGTCGTGGATGAGTCTCCTCCATCATACATTTTTTATATAGAGGAGGAAAGTGGAGACAAAGTTGTTGTGGAAGAGGACGCCAGAAGCTTGGTTTGGTGTAGAAGGCTTCCAGCCGTACATGTTTGAGCCCATGCATCGCAACGCTGCCAGTTCTGTTAGCTCCACGCCTGCAGGAGACACAGACGCCCATCCCCGTGAACACTGGGACGGAACTCAATGGGAAATGAAATGATTCTTATTTCTTATTTCAACTGTTCGTATAAGCTGCAAAATATGAATCAAGATGCTATGAAAAAATTTGATTGACAGATGATCGTTGATTGGCCAAATTTAGGTGTACAAGCTGACGTATAACTAATTGGCCTGCATAAGATAATGGGGAAAAAAACACAGATTTTAAGACAGAATTTTGTATAACAATAGAAATTTTCTAAATTTTGCGAAAATATCTTCTGATAAAGAGTACATGTTTAAGCCAGGAAGATTTGACATTTCAATACGATTTCCCTACAACTTGAAGAATTATTGTAGTTACGTAGCCTCAGTGTGAAGGTACAATAAAACCTGTTAAAGGGCACTATGTGCAACACATTTGAAAAGTTAAAGGTTCCTAAAATTCTAAATATTATCAAAGTAAAGTACTTTTACCGAAACCATGTGCAATATCAATGTGGCAAATTTGTACTAAATCTTTTTTTCCTATCTGTCATCTGTATTTCTTAACTAAAGGATAAGACGTGTGTTTATCAGAGAAGTAAAGAAAGAGTCCCCCTTTGTTAATTTAAAAATTTCACCATTATGGCTTGGTCTGCAGCTGAATGGGCTACACCCTAACTCAGAGACCCAAAGTCATGCTCACAACTTAGATATCTTTGATTCAGAATGACTTCATCTGTTTGTTTACAGTAACTGCTGCTTTCTGCTGAATTGTCTGAATAAGAAATACAGTGGTGTGTCTCTGCATGGATGGGTGGGATCATTGTTTAGTACCAGAGGAACTAACAAAACAACGAGGGTTGAAGAACTAAAGGCTTTCTTCAATAAAGACTGAATCCTAAACGCACAAAAGAACACTACTTCAGATCCTTCCCCCCAACAAACTGAATAAAGGGGAACAGCCATGCTGTTATATTTAGCTTCTAGATCAGTTTTCAGTTCTGTGATTGTTTTTTTCCCCCTTTTTCTCAAGCAAAGCAAATTGTAAACAATAAGGTTTCTTTGGGTGGCTATATGTGATTACATAAAGTTTTATGGTTCTTATAGTCTGATTTTGTAAAAGAAAAAACAGTTTTGCCACTGTCTATTGACAATAAAGGATATATATATATATATGTATGTATATAATTATTACTGATAAACTTCAAGTGACACAGTGTAACGTATACTCTAACAGCTATCAAACCAATCCAACACCTTCTGGACTTTCTGCAGTGATTGATTAACTGCTGCTAACACCCGTTCAAACAGCTCTGTCTGAAGCTAACGGCTGTTGTGAAACGTGGCGACGTTCCTGTGGAACAAATTGACGAAAATAGAGAATCGTTTCCTGTTGTCATTCCGGGCCCAACAGGCCAGAGTCCGACCTCACCTGCTTTAGATCCAACTGAAGCTAACGTTAGCAGGTAGCTAGCAAGCAGCTGGCCCGAAATTTAGCAGCTAACAGGCCTCAGATATGAGCCTCTCCAGGTGCTCAGCCTGCGTGTGTTCATCATTTAGCCTGAGTATTGTAGGTTCGGTTCAGTTAAAGAGGTCACACAGTTGTGGGCTATATAAGTTAACAAAGCAAAACTGACAGTGAATAAACCCGCCTGAACTGACTGGATGTGCGCATGCGTCGTCTCCCTCTCCTTCTCTTCTTCTTCGTTGGTTCATTAGCACTTCTGGGCCCACAGCTGACCTCTAGAGGTAACCGGAGTCAGTTCAAACAGTGGAAAATTATCGAAGTAAATTACTACTAGTGTGATGAACTGAGGGTACCCAGGATGTCCAACCAATAGATTTATGACAGAAAGTGATTAAAATTCTTCAAAGAAAAGTAATTAAGAATTTATGATTTAAAGCTACAACTGTAAGACGGAATATTAGGGCCAGGCTAGAGAGTTTCTTTTTGCTTTTTACTGCGAGAATTAAGTCATTAAATAACGAGAATAAAGTCCTAACATTATGAGAATAAAGTGGTAAAATTACAAGAAAAAAGTCGCAACGAGAATAGTCATCGAATGACGATAATAATTCATAAAATTACAATAATAAAGTAGTAATATTAAGAGAATAAATTATGAAAAACAAGTTGTATTTCATGACGTCTAAGTGTCTTAAAGGGGGGTCGTTAAAGGGAATTGTTGGTCTGGCTGAATAGGCGAGGTCCTTCACTCTTCTGAACATATTACTCGCCAATTCAACCAGGCCAACAATTCCCTTCAACGACCCCCTTTCAGAGACATAGACAGGTATGAGGCATTGCAGGCAAACAAAGTAAGCCAAACGACCCCATTCCAAAGGGGTGGACCCCTTTGTCTGTTTCAATTTGCATTTTTTCAAAACAAGGTTTTGTTGGGCTAATGTATAAAACCTCGAACTCAACGCTATTCCTGACACTTTGAATTAAAAAAGCTTCCTGGATGGGAAACGAAACGTCTTAAACCTGGAGACAAATTCCAGATGATTGTCTTTAATTTTCTTTTTTGGAATGACTATGACCTGGATGACTGAGAATCTTCACCAGCGTAAAGTCCTCACTGCACTGGATTGCATAAACAGTGCCACTAAGCTTAGGGTTGGTTGTTCTGTGTTTAGGATGAACTAGTTTTTGTCTGATTGTGTTGTTAGGTTTCAAATTCACCTATAGAGACAGAACAATTAAATCTAAGATGGGTGGTGCTGTTTATGCAATCCAGTGCAGTGAGGACTGTACAGCCTCCTACATTAGAGAAACCTTAGAACAATTATAACAAACATGGCACAGCATAGCAGAGCCAGCAGCTTTGGGCATGGTTCAGCTGTACATTTGCACCTCAAAATCAAAGGACACACCTTTGAAAATCAAAGTGTTCAGATTTTGGACAGGGAGGACATGTGGCTTGAAAGAGGCATCTCTTGAAGGCATCTTCGTGAAAAGAAAAAAGGCTTCACTGAGCAGAGGGGGAGGATTGCAGTTTCCGCTTCCAAGCATTTACAATAAAGACATGCAAAGTTCCCAAGAAATAAGCCCTCCCATTATGATTCAAAAGACCAATGACAGAGCCCACGCACAACAAAAGGCTCCTACACTCCGGTATAACAAGGCGTGGCTATTTGAAAAGGATGGCCCTCCATGCTGCTTAAATACATCAGCACTTCAACTACACCAAGAATCAGTTGAAATTCTGAGATCAGTCTGACTTTCACTGTACAGGGCAGGGCCATATGTAACCTGGCTGACTGTTGAAATGGACGACTTATGTGTTACATTAACACTGCTCATTTTACTGTGTAGAGCTGCGGTCATGAATTAGTGGATCGGGACCCAACCTAATTTTAAACATTTATAAATTACTGCATGTTGTCCAACGACAGTGTCTAACTTCACTTGCGCTGCTTCTCCTGTTTTTAAAGCTACAGTGTGTAATTTTCAGCGACATCTAACGTCCAGACTGCAGACCGCAGCAACATGAACATCTCCCTCCACCGCTTCTCCCCCCCAACAGTACGGCGAGCGTTACGGGACAAAATGTCTTCCACGACGTCCGCATCACCTACCTTCTCAAGGGATGAGGTTTGTTTACATAGATAATTTTACAGATAGTATTCTCAGGCATAATACTGCCATCTATTGTTGAGTACCGTCTCAGTTCATCTCTCTCAACTTGCCGTAGTTACTTTCGAGCGTAATTGGCGATCTCGCAATCGCTAGTTTGTTGGCTCTGCGCTGCCGTAGCGCAAAGATGTCTGCCTCCATGGCTGCGAGACCCGCTCCTATGTAATTATAAATAACAAATTCTAAGGCAACGCAAATATTGAGGTTAAGAGGCTGAGCTCGTAGATGATGATAAATAACATAGTTATGTATAATATATTACATTTCTGACTGTATATCCCTGTAATTATTACACACTGTAGCTTTAAGGTAAAGCCCTCAGGAGCGTCTGGCACCAGGCTATACTTTATGCAAATCAGCCAATGAGCTGCTGTCAGTCTGGGTTGCTGCTGCTGCTACTTTTAGACACAGCAGGCAAACCTGTGGCAAGCAGGATGATTGGAAAGAAGGAGAAGACGATGAGAAAAAGAGCAGAGAAAGTTTGGACTGCTGGAAGAACTGCGGTGAACTGGTGACATAAAAGTGAAATGGTGCTCAAAGATGACCCTGCACATTTTGAGTATGTTTGGCTCAACCTGCTGCTGTGAAGCAGGATTCTCCACCATGAAGAGAATCAAAAATAAATATGGATCCAGGCTCAAAATGAGCTCCTTGATATGTGCTTTAGAATGGCTTTGTCTCCATTCAAACCCAGGTTTAAAGCCTCGCAGGGCAGCATAAAGCCCACTGCGAACATTAAGACAGAAAAAAGAAAGAAAAAAAAAGTTCAGTTCAATTGTTTTGTAAAAAAAAAAAAAAGCGAATCAGGAAATTGTCTAAATACCAAAGACCTATAACTAAAAGATTGTTGTTCTCTACTTCAATAACGATTTAGATTTTTAAAAATGGAAAAATTTTCTTTTTTCTTTTAATATTTTTTATTTAAAAATTCAATGTATATTATGGATGCATAAACACCCTATTTTATTTCAGTGTTAAATTCTGTTTAAAGTAACGGGTTATAATAAAAAATGTCTCCGGACCTTTACTGGTTGTTGATTTTCTTAATTTGGACCTCGCTGGTTTTTAATCAGTTACCCCTGGTGTAGAGCTTGCTCTGGTGTGAACAAACAGAACTGACAAAGACTCCTGGATAGGTGTCAAAACATCTAAAAAAAAACTGAGTAAAAGTCCAGTTGCAATCCATTTTAAGCCTGTTTTTTGGCCATAAAATAAGATATTTTTCAGTTTTATTTCCAAAGTATTTGCTTTTTAAATTCCAATTTACAATATTTGAACAAAAATCCCTCCATGAAGGTCCGTGTTTGAACCAAACATGGACGCCTGGATCAGTTTTTATTTGGACAGCTGATGGATCAATCAGAGCTGGATAATTTTAGGTTATGTAGCTGATTCAAAGACAAACAACAGAAACATGAAGGAGACACACTGCTGTGACATAACTGAAGGAATTCATCCCTGAGTTTCAAGATAAAGCACCAAACAATCAAGAAGTCCTCCATTTGCATTCAGACATTGGTCTCCATATAGTAAAGTCTGGACGTCTGAAACATTTGCAGTGTTTAATTATTTTCTGTAAACTCTGAAGTTTCTAATTGTGTCCAGGGAAAAACCTCCGTCTGCGTCCTGCATTTGGTGCTTGACTCCAGCGTGTCCAGGGAGTCGTCACCACAGCTGTGTTTCTTCAGCTGCCGGGAGTCGGAGAAGCCCAGATGGCAGCGGTCACAGGAGTACAACTTGATGCCGGTATGGATCTGCATGTGGGACTTGAGCTGGTTGGACTGCCTGAAACTCCGGCTGCAGACGCTGCACTGGTACGGCTTCTCTCCGGTGTGGACCAGCAGGTGGCGGTGGTAGTTCTGAGGGGTCCTGAACTCTTTGCCGCACTGTTCGCAGCGGTGAGGTTTGACCCCGGTGTGCAGCAGCTCGTGTTGCTTCAGCTGCGACGCCTGCAGGAAGCCTTTGCTGCAGAACGAGCAGACGTGCGGCCGGTCGCCGCTGTGCTGGCGTTGGTGGTAGCGTAGCATGTGTCCCAGGTGGAAGGTCTTCCCGCAGGTGTTGCAGGTGAACTCTTTGTTCTGCTGGTGGCTCTTCTCGTGGATCCTTAGAGTGCTGGTGCTGCTGAAGCTCTTCAGACACATTTTACAGCTGAACGGTTTTGCTCCGCCGGATCTCCGCCGGCCGTTCTCTGTTCTGGAGAGCCGGCTGTTTGGATCGCCATGAACCAGCTGCTGGTGTTTCTGCAGCTGACAGTTGTAGAAAAACGTTTTCCCGCAGCAGTCGCACATAAAGGGCTTCTCCACACCGTGGACCAGCATGTGGGTCTTCAGAGCCCAGGTTCCAGAGAAACCTTCCCCACACTGGTGGCATCTGATGGAGAACAGAGGAGAGGAGACAACACCAGGTTAGGATACAAGGTAAGAAACACTTGAAGCTTCCTGACTGAGCCATAAGTCGTGCGTACCTGTGGGGCTTCTCTCCGTTGTGGAGGTGCAAGTGTCGCTGCAGGTTGTATTTGAGGCCGAAGCTCAGCCCACAGGTATGGCAGGTGAAGGGTTTCTCTCCCGAGTGGACGACTCGATGCTGGATCAGCCCCATCCTGCATTTGAAAGCCTTGTCGCATTCCGTGCACTTGAACGGCCGCTCGTCCGAATGCGACCTCTTGTGGACGCGCAGGTTCCCACTCGTGGAGAACCTCTTGCCGCAGGTCTGGCAGGGGTACGGCCGCGCCCCCGTGTGGACCGTCTGGTGCTCTCTGAGACTCTTCTTCCTGGTGAAACTCTTCCCGCACACGTCGCACATGAACGGCTTTACTTTGGCGTGTGAAGCTCCGTGGGACCTGAGAGCGGCCGCGGAGGTGAAGGTGCGCTCGCAGGCGTGGCACTTCAGAGGCGTCTTCTCTTGGCGATGCGAGGCCTGGTGGACCCGGAGCTGTCGCAGCAGCCGGAACTTCCTACTGCATTGGTCGCACTGCAGCAACTTGTCAGGGTCGCGCTCCTGCGCCTCCCTCAGCTGGTGGCTCTGCTGGTGTTTGTGCAGCGTCTGAGCTTTGTAAAAGCCTTTATCGCAGGAGTTGCAGGGGAAAGGTTTGCGATGGCTCGCCATGTGTTTGGTCAGCTGGTGGTTCTGATGGAACCCTTTGTTGCAGAGCTCACAGAAGAACCTCTTCTTCTTGTAAAGCTCCCTCCTCCTCAGCCTCTCCTGCTCCTTCTGCTGCTCCTCACTCTGAGCTGCACAACGAGAGGAGACAAACAGAGCGTCTGAAACAGCATTAATCGGGTCGAGATGTTAAGGGTCTGTGCACTGACAGAAGCAAAAGACCTGGTCCAAGATCAGGGCATTATTATTATTACAAAAAAGATCAAAAAATGCTGAATTTATCATGACTCCTCAAAATCCAATGATAAGGCTCAGTGGTTAGACCATTGGAAAACCCTGAGAAGAGATCCAGAGAAAAAGCTGGTCAGACTCAGACCACTAAGGGAAACCTGCTTGACAAAATGTTTGCAAATTGAACCATTGAACCAAATTGATTATCAAATAATGGTTTACTAGATTGAAATTTACATCCACTTGAAAGCATTTTATTTAAGTGTTTTGATGTTTCAGACATGCACTAGAGGACGCTGCTGTTCTTTCTAAGCAGAGCCTTACTGAAGAAGCCTGACGAATGAGAGGCGAAACGTCCCCGGGAAAACTTCACGTCCAGGTGCCTAAACTCAACGTTTCAAGCTTGACCATGACCTGGATAACTGGGAAAAGCCTTAGTGCTGGTTTATACCAGCCTGTCTGCTTGGAGGCACATTTGCATTAACTGCCCCGCCCCTTCCGCAGAAACTCTGCTGCACCTCTCCAAAGTTGTAGGTGACCGCAGACAGGAGGCCTCTGATTGGTCAAACCTAAATCTGCTCTACTTTAGGCGTTTTTCCTGTATGGTACCTTACCGGCTTGTTTTGTTTATATGACCGCCATTGTGGAAAACGACTCGTGAAGATGGACCAGCTAGAAGAGCGAGGGGCGAAAGAATGCTGGGACCCTTTTTCCACCTGGATCCCCGCTCCTTTCTGCCCTCATGTCCCTCCGTTGTCGTACAAACTTGCCCCTTGCATTTTTCCACTTCCTCGCCGACTCAGCCACGAGGAGGACCCTAACCCTCTTGGATCGTGGCTTGGAATAAAATAGCAAAGACCATGCTTCTACATTGTGCATAAATCGAAAATATCTGCGACATGCTCACTGCGACACACTGCTGCCGGACAATAACCAGCCCTTTAATGGTATTTGCAAGACAAGTAATGCCAGATTGGAGAAATGCTTGAGCAGAACCAATATTTGATCCAGACATGGGGATTATTTACACTGTTTAATGCACACTAGGGCCGAACGATTTTGCAAAAATTCAAATTGCAATTATTTTTAACCACGATTTTTCTTTGCACTAACCCCCAGCTTGTAGATGTTTTACCCCAGCCTGTCAGTTTTTGAAATCTTAGTTACCCAGAGGTCATTATAGAAGAATTTTACAGTAATCCTTTTGTGAAAAAGTGCTTATTTTTACTTGCATGCACGGATCGGCGTGCTAGCTGTAACTCTGCCTTTCTGTGTGGCGACAAACCCACTTTAAGGGTTGGCAAATTATGTTTTGTTAAATTGTGATTAAATTGCAAAGGAAATTAATTACCCAGCCCTAATGGTGACAAGGATGTAGAATTAGCTTTTTGCATTTCTGTTTGTAAATATCAATAAACCCCTTAAGCTGCGTTCACGCCAAACGCAGCAGGAGCAGTAAAAACGCGTCTGCTGCTTCCCTTTTGCTGTTTGTACCAGTTTAGTTCTGACGTGCGGCTGAAGCAGCTTTACTGCTCTGGCTGCGTGGTCGAAAAGTGGCTCTGACGCGCGTTGGGTGGAGCCACCCTATCCTTTCTTTGCCTAACAGCTATATTTGCTGTGATCAGTGGGAATAAAGTAGTTTTAATGTTTTTAAGTGAGAAAGTCCACCTGAAAACTTCATCAGTGCAGTCAGTTCATCCAGATTACCATCCTGCCTTCCAATATTATTTCTGTCGGAGCCGCTCAGACCCCCACATACCAGCGGTGCACTGTCAGTAGGAATACCATCAACAGCAGCCTATGGCCAGGTCGCCTCCTCGCGGTTCACCGCGGCAGCTGGTAGGCATTTTTCATCTAAATAATCCAAACTGCAGGCACCAGGATAATAAAAGCGAACATATTTTGCCGGCAGGTTTCAGCAGTTTAAGGTAATATAGGTGTTAATAAACTGTTTCAGAGGAGTGATCATAGCGCTGTGTATCATCAGCAATGTGTCTGTCTCACGGCCAGCTCCCAGATCAGCGTCTCTGATTGGTTGATGCGGCGTATCGAGCAGCAAAAGTTCAATTTTTCCATCTCGAGCAGCAGCGCGTTTGCGGCGTGTCATGCCTGTCAGATGCTTAAATGCTCCCGACGCGCTGCTTTAGCTGCTCAGATGCGCTGTGCCTACTGCTCAAAACGCGCTGCGGGACCTTTTGCTGCGCCTTGACGTGCATCAAACATAGACTTTGCATGTAAACCAGCTGCTCCTGCTGCGTTTGGTGTGAACGCAGCTTTAGGTTCCCACCTTAATAGTGTTTATTTAAAGAACCGTTGAAAGTCTCGGCTAGCAGCACAGTTTCTTTTGAGCACTGAATGCTGGATTACACTAAGAACCGAGACCTACCCTGCCATCCACTTCATGCAAACAAAGCAGCAAATAGTCTGACTGCGTGAAAGAGCGACATACCCCGCCTTGTAATGATAGTTTTACATCTCTGTACATTGGAAACCATGTTGTGTTACACATATTCTATTCTTCTTTTTTTTTTTTTTTTAGTGACCTAATAGGTTCTGGTTTTGTTTTATCTTATAAATATTTCCAGTTTAATGTGTAAGAAAAGCTGATTTTCTCACCCAGTTAGTATATAAAACAGTTGGACAACCTGCAGACCTAATCCATACACAAAACCCCAACATGGTCAGTCGCCATAGTTGATTGGGTCGTGAACGATGGTTTCTCTGGACAACTTAGACACGTTTATTGTTAAGGGGAAATTTCAGAACAGAGTTTTACCAAAACCAGACCAAAAACATGGAAGAGACTAAAGGCACTGTAGATTAATAGAAATGGTTACCATGGCAACATGTCTCCTGTATTTCTGCATTAATGAGGTCAGAGTCAAGAAACATCAGAACCGCATCCATTGGTAACGGAGCCATGAGCCGAGGTGGGCCTGAACCGAACAGGAAACCTGAGTCCATCTGCTCTGAGAGCTGGTTCTGTGGTTCCATCCAGTCTGAACAAGTGACGGTTAATGAGGAATTTTGAAGCTTTTCGACACATTACCAAACTCTATTGATCCTGCATTGATAATGTCTCACAGAATACTGACACCTGCTGGAAATGTAAAGATACTACAGGCTAAACTGAATTGATTTGATAACCTAGTACAAAGATTGAATTTAAGTTATTATAGGTGTATTATTTCATATCTATGTTTAAATTTAAAATATCTTTGATATTATATTACATTATAAATAATGTAAACATATATCATAACGTGAAAATTTTGGGGAAAATGTGAATGAGGATGCTTTTGGACTAGGATTTTAGATCATATTTTTAAAACAATAAGCACAGTAAAAACGGTAAATAAACTAAGCGTCAATTTAAAATTATATTTGATTCAGTAAGTTGAGTGATAACTGAGAGGAAAAGTATTACACAACGAGAAAATTTAAATAAAAACTCAATGGCTGAAACAATCTTATTCCTTTTAGGCCGCTCCAAAATTTTGGACCATTTTAAAGATAAACCACAAAAGGTTAGACTTTTTTTTTAACAGATGCATCATGTTAAGAAATACGTCTTTAAACACAGTTTAGCGAGTCAGTCAGTCAGAAACTTCTGTATCGGTCACATGACTTTCTTGCAACGCCACGCGCACCGACACAGTGTTGGACTCGACGAATGCACCAATGCATCGGGGTTAATGGACCCATCACTAGTCTGAACCTAGTGGTCTAAGACCCAGTTCTCTCCAGACTGACTGCAGCAGTTTGTCTTTTCCTAACAGAAGTTCAGCCATTAAGCCGAGTGTTACCTGTTAGAATCTCCAGACCCTTCGGACCAGCCTGGTCCAGTTCTTCTGGTTCTATTACTGTTTCTGCTGCCTGAAGACACCATGAGAGACGAAGAGGACACCAGAAATTAGTTTAAAATTAAGACCAAGAATCAGTAAAAAACAACTATGGTAAAAAGTGAATGTTGTGATTCTGTTGGTGCTCATGAACTCACCATGGTCCCAACTTCTTCTAGAAGGGCCGTATCTTCAGCTGGAAGCTCTCTGGTGGGCTCACCTTCAGCAACAGCTTCTGTATAGATCTGGATCGTCTCTAAAACCACCTCAGCCTCCACCTCCGGCGAATCTGAAAAACCCGGATCTGTCTTTTCCTGCAGCTCCTGAGCGCAGGAGCTCTTCTGCCTACTGACGTCCTGGATGAAGACCAACGGAACCGGATCGGTGCTCGTGGACTGAGCAGAGCCGGAGACCATCTGATGTTCCGCTGATCTGACTGAGGGGTCCAAAAACACAGAAAAAAAACCCAAAAATGTCAAATACAGCCCAGCAGCTGATTTAGAGACCGATTCCCCCAGCAGTCATATTTTTGGAAAATGGGTGGAAGCTAAAGTACCTGGAGGAAACACACTGCAAATTCAAGCCCTTTCAAGGACTTTCCAATTTCATCCAAATTTAGGACCATGTGAGAATGGGCGGTTCAAGACAGGGGCCAACGGGGGCCAGTGCCCCTGTAGGTCATGTCAGTATAGGGGCCCCTGTACTGAAGACATAATATTCAAAGTAATTCTAATGATGATATATGTAGGAACAGACATGGTCACTGATTGGTCCTTTGGATGTTTTTTTTTCTATAAAAACTCTGTTTTACTAACTATTTAAAAACAATACGGGGAAAGCTTCAGTGGTATTGAGATGGGATCCCAGTTTTCATCTGCTATTTTTTTTTTTTTCAAAAAAAACAAACAAAAAAAAAAACTAATTTTTACAGCTGAATTTATCTGTTTTTCATGAGATTTTATAGAAAACAGTAATTTTATCTTAAATTAAGTCAAAAATATGTAAAGTTCCTAAATTATGAACATATATTGACCTAATAAGATATAGAATTTTATTTAAACCTCATTGAATAGAAATTTCACTTCATGCAGCTCTCGTAATATATTTGAATCCCTTGCCCTGTTTTTTTTATTTCACACTGGCCCCCTCCTGGCCCCCTGGTACATTTGGCCTAGAACCACCACTGCATGTGAGGCAGTATTTAAAGTATCATCTCTGGCTACATTTTTATGGATTTAAGTAATCAGAAAAAACAGCAGGTCAGACTATAAACACATCATGCAAGCATCAGAATATCCTGATTGGATTTGGCAGGAGCTGAATGAAATAGAAATAATAACCAGAGACAGAGGGCTGGTTTATGCTGATTGACAATCTGATCCACATGCATGTAAACATTCATCAGGGTTAGGTTGTTCTATGATTGGCCGAATTTAGCTGTACAAGCTGACCTATAAATAACTGGCCTGCATAACAAAAAAAAACCCCCCACAGATTTTAAGACAGGATTTTTTTTCAAACAATAAATTTTCTACATTTTGGGACAATATCATCTGATAAAGAGTACCTTTATATACATGTTTAAGCCAGAATGATTTGACTTTTAAATATGATTTCCTTACGACTTTAACACATTTTTAGTCTGAACAGCTGCTTCTTCATTACACGTCCATATAAATGACACAATTCAATTATGAATGTCATAAAAGCTGTCAGAGCAGAATAATTAAATATCATATCCACGATACATGGATATGTTTAGTGATGGCGAGATCAGGCTTTACCTGAAGGGGTTAAAACAAAGTCATTCCTTTCCACAGTAGCCACATGCTTGGTCACCACACTTAAAGGTAATGAAGGAGGATTTTTATAAAAGGACCCGCCCTCTCCACTTAAAAAAAGCACATGCAAGAGTCTGCATGAGCCCATTTCTCTTCATACACACCCTTTTTAAAATGTGCTGTTATCATATCTTCTACAAGCTTATTGTGTCCACATACAGAGGGGACTACATAGTGGACTGAATAGTGAACTGACCGTTCAGACAGATGATCACTGTTTTTTGCTCCCTGTTGGTCACGTTACTCCTCCTCCACTACACAGTGCCTCCGCCATCTTTGTTATGAGTCTCTGCTGTCAAGTAGCAACACACTATGGCAAAGGTGGGCCGCTGTGAAAGCAATTCCCATAATGCTTTGCATAGAGAGGTCTTCGCGCAAAGCATTATGGGATACATCTGCCTCTTCCGAGGCGTTTCTTTTCTTCTCGTACACTTTAAACTTTAAAACACTTTTTCTCTTACGACCCTCGGCCATTTTCAAAAGAACTGCAGTGAGAAAGGTGAGCTTCAATGACTGTGAGTAGGACGGCCTTAGATAAACATATCACCAGAATGATTGACAATTAGGCAGACCACTTATTTAGATGATCCACCCAGAAATAAAAGATGATCCTTTGTACCTTTAAACTATGAGGACGTTTGAATGTGGGTCTGTCTACATGACTGGATTGGTTGAACTGTATATTTCTCTATGTTAATCAGTTCTTGTAAATTGCCTTAAGGGGATGTTTGTTGTGAAGTGGAGATAAACAAGAGAAGGTTCTCAGTCTAATCTCTAGAAGAAAAGAGATACAAGTTCCTCCCCAGAGGCTCACCTGCTGATCGAACTTTAGAAACCTTGTGGTTCTTCCCAGGTACACAGGGTTTCGGGCTCTGTGGCTCCTCCCCCTCCAGACTTCTCACTTTGTCCTTCAGAGCCTGGTTTTCTGTTAGGATGTTCAGGTAGAGTTCTCTGAAGACACCACAGAGCTTACGGACCGCCTCCCTGGACATCAGAAGCAGCATGCTGCTCAGCTGCAGGGTGAAAGAGAGTCACAGGAGAAAACCAGTGAGCTGAGCAGAACCAGAACCTCCAGCTCCAGAGTGGAGCTTTTGATAGTTGTTTATGGAAGAAAAACAGTGTCATTGGAATCTGCCTTTTTTTTAAACACCAAATTTTTTTTAAAACTTTTTTTTGCAGCTGAATTTGCAACAGAATTTTATGCAACTGAATTGTTTGCAGATTATTTTTTTGCAGCTAATTTTTTATTTTTTTTGCTGTTGAAATTTTTGCAACAGAAATTTTTGCATGTCATTGTTTTGCATTTGAATTTTTTGCAACAGAATTGTTTGCAGGTGAATTTTCTGCAGCTGATTTTTTTTTTTTGCAACTGAAATTCTTACAGGTGAGTTTTTTGCAAATTAATTTTTTTTGCAGGTTTTGTAACTAAATTATTTGCAGCTGAATGTTTTTGCAGCTAAAAGTTTTTGCAACGGAATTTTTTGCATGTGATTTTTTTGCAGCTGAATTTTTTGCAGCTGAATTTGCAACATAATTTTTTGCAGCTGAAATTTTTGCAACTGAATTTTTTGCAGGTGAACTTTTTGCAGGCATTATTACCAGACAAAAAATTAGTGTAAGGAATTTAGTGTGTAAAAAAAATCAGTGTTTAAAATTAGGTATACAAAAAAGGCAGATTTCTTCCATAGATGTTCCTCCACAGCACTGGTTTCCAGGAGTTATCCATGCACTGGCAGCACATGTCTTTATATCCATTCATAATAATAATAATAATAATAATGTTTATATATACTCTAGCAAAGATTGTGTTGTAATCATCAGTTTTGTTTTTATCCTGCAGACACAAAAAGCAGTTTTGGTCCTAATAAGGCACTGTCAGATAACTTTATTCTGACCAATGAAAGGGCAGAATTCACCCTTCAAAGATCGTCTATTAGACAGTTGATCGTCACATGTAGACTAATTATTGAAACGAAGCCGTTTCCTCTTAGATTTTGGCATCATAACATTGAAGTCTCACCACATGCATCTCTCTGCCTCTCACCTGCTTCCGCTTCTCCTCTGATCCCTGCTGGCCCAGCAGAACAGAACCACTCCGTGGCTCCGGTTGGTTCAGCAACGCTGAACCCAACAGAACCTCCTTAGCATCTGGTTTCGGATACAGCAGAACCTCGTCAGCAGCTGGCTGTTGGTGACCCAGCAAGTCCTCCAAAGTTGTCTGTTTCTGGTCCAGCAGAACCTCCTCAACAGCTGTTTCCCGGTGAACCAGTAGAACCTCCTGTGGTACCGCCGGTTCCTGCTGGCCCAGAACAACTTCGACCGCAGCGTCCAGCAGCAGCTGTAGAACCAGTTCGGCCTGACGGCTGAAAGTTTCCCCTGCGGTTCTGAGATGCTGCATATTGAACCGAACCGAAGCTAATATTATACACAGACAAATAACTGCACTAATTGGATGGTTCTGATCCAACAGAAACCAACTAACTTCGATCCATCAGTCAAACATGGCGATTTATCCTTTATTTACATCCCCGGGCATGCGTCTTCTTCTTCTTTCATTTGATTCTTCTTCTATTAAATTAATGGCAACCTTGACTTTTAGGTGCATACCGCCACCTACTGTACCGGAGTATATATACATACATACATACATACATACATACATACATACATACATACATACATACATACATACATACATACATACATACATCTCTATCTATATCAATATATAAAATCTCTATACTTTAATATATATATAAATATATATATATATATATATATATATATATATATATATATATATATATATATATATATACCTAAATATTGTACATCTTATTGTATAATCCTATATTGTTTAGATACTTTATAACAGCTTTCTGTATTTTCTTCATCCCCTCTCCTGTTGTTACTATTATTCCTTCCAGATTCCACTCCCTTCCTATTTGTCTTTTCTTTTGTTTTAATCCTATCCTTTCTTCATCACATTTACAACAATTTAGTCATATATGTTTTATTTTCTATTACTTTACATTCTATACACTCATCTGTTTGACATTTCCTTAATAAAAGTAATGTTTTATTTAACCCAGTATGATCAAATCTTAGCCTTGTCAAAATTGTCTCCACTCTTCGATTATTTCTAATCACATCCTTGGCATTAATAGATTGCTGCACACTATAATAATTTCTCCCACTTTTATCCATGTTTCATTTATCCTGCCATTTTTTCTTTATTTCTTTTTTATTAGATTTTCCTTCTTCTTGTTGTTGGATTTATTGGCGACAAACTTCTAGTAGCTTTATTGCCACTTACTGGTATGGAGTGTGGCTCGTGATGGTCGATTTTATATATATATATATATATATATATATATATATATATATATATATATATATATATATATATATATATATATATATATAGAATATATATAAAATGGACCATCACGAGCTACACTCCATACCAGTAAGTGGCAATAAAGCTACTAGAAGTTTGTCGCCAATAAATCCAACAACAAGAAGAATATAATTATTTGTATGTGTTTACTCCCCAAATTCATCCTCAAAATATCTAATGAATTAATCTTTTCCTTAATACATTTAAACTCTCTCCTTATATATCTTCTCTTGCTTTACTGATGACATTCCTGTATAACATGTTCTATTGTTTCATATTTTCCACAGTAATCCCATTTGCCACTTGTATGCTTTTGAATTTTGAAAAGTGTATAATTAAGTCCTGTCTGCCCAAATCTTAAAGGAATAGTACACCCAAAACATGATTAGCCTTCATTTTCTACTCACCCCCATGCTGAACAACACTCTGGAGTACTTTTTTGATATCTCAAATGCATCTGGAGATCTGGGAGGCTTCTTGCTGTCTGCTGACATTCAAATAATGGAGGTCTATGGTCAGAGATGGCAAAAGTACAGATACTTGTGTTAAAAAATACTCTGGTAAAAGTGGAAGTACTGATTAAACTTCTTTACTCAAGTAAAAGTAACAAATGCGCAAAAGTAACAAATGCGCACTTTCATCTGGTTTGGTCTGCCGCGTTTTCCGTAGCGTCGTGAACGCGCAGGCGCACGCTTTCAGGAAATCCTATACACTACTGTTTATGCTCTAAAAACTTTCTAAATGACTTCGTTTCGAGTAAATTCTGGACGCTACCCACTCAGGACACTTGGAATACATTGGACGAGCAGTATGGAGGAATATTGACACGTTTTTTGTGGACTTTTATGGACCTTTCTGCCTCGGGCACAATGAGGGTGAGTAGAAAATGAAGGCTAATCATGTTTTGGGTGTATTCCTTTAACCTTGTCATCCGTCTCTCTCCTCCTTTCTATTTCGTCTTCCATTTCTTCTTTTTCCTACAATCCTCTGAATTTTATAAAACCATCTTCCTGTTTTTTCTTAATCCCACCTTTTTTTTGTGCCATTTTTCCATCAGCTTTTCTTTAATAATGCTCTTTCCCTCCGATTTACTTGTTTTCTTTCATTTGATTGGCGGATTTCAAACATCTTATAGGTGCATACTGTCACCTACTGTACAAGAATGTGTAGCTTTAAGGATCCACCTACTATATTCTATTTTTTAATTTTGTGTTATGTAAAAAATTAAAGCAATGCTTTATTAATTTCCCTAATGTCCTCCCTATCTCCATCTGTCCCTAAAATTCCTGTAATACACCATTCTCTCCCTTTTTCCCTAATTACTTCCCATATCCTCTATCTTTTAGTTACATATTTATTAGTGTTGCACCGATACCGATACCAGTATCTGGCGGGGCCCCGATCCAGCACTAAAATAGTGGTATCAGTATCAGAGAGTACCAACAAATAGGGCACTGACACCACTGATACCAATTAATTGCAACCTAGATGTTCTATTGTTGAAATAATAGAATGAAGATGTCTTTGTCTATTTTCAGTATTCCAATAATGCTGCCACTTGTGGTTTTATTTTAACAATAACTAAACTATGACATTCTATTCTACCAGATTATTTCTTTCCTTAGGCTGGCCATGACAGAAGCATCAGCCATTTCATTTCCATTAACTGCACCATGAGGTGGATCCCACAGAAAACCTGCTCTAATTACACCTGCTCTAGCCCTACATCCACCATCCTTTTTAATACATCACTGCAGAGACAATCAGAACAAATGACAACATTCATTCAATGTCAGACAAACGCTGGCATTGATTGAACCCAAACTGGGGAACATGAATACTAAAACCAGCACGTATATTTACTGAATCTCTTCAACCATCCATAAAAATCTGGTCGAAACATTTCCATTTAGTCCTGAGGTTGGACATTTGCATAAGTCGCCAGACATCCTCTAAAATCTTCCTTAACCCATTTAATGACAAATCAATATCTAGCTCAGGCACCAACTAAGGTGGAATTACTGGCCAGATCACTTGGGGAACAACATCATTATTATTTCTAAGATTAAGCTCCTGTATATAACCTTTCAATGACTGCAGAAAACCACGTTTACTGAGCATACTTGTACCTTCTACAAACTCCTAACTATCTTCCAACACAGAAAATGATAAAAGTGCAGTGCTAGCCCCTTTTAACTTCATTATATAGTTTAGTCCCAGGTTTATGTTTCAAATTTAAAAGGATTTCCCCTGATTCAACCAATAGTGCAGGAGTACTAAAAGCTCCAGTACACAATCATAACGCTTTGGTTTGTACAATACCAGAAGATTTGGCTGCACTCCCTTATAAACATACCACATATCCACAGTCAACATTACAGATCTTCCCGGCCACCATGTTTTTCCAGTCAGAAATCTCATGATATTGATAACTTTATTACATTTCTCTATTTTCTGTATAGGAAGTTTATATGTAAGTCGCTCATCCATTGTAATTTCCAAGGAACCCAGATGACTTGACTCTTCACCATGTCTTCAAAATGTTCATCATACAGAGTAAAAGACTGCTCCCCCGACCCCCCCAACCCCTCTTTTTTCTTCAAAAAAAAACACAAACTTGGTCTTGGAAACAGATAATCTAAATCACCATTTATCAGCCCAGTCTTCTACCTTATGTAATGCATATTGAATTTGACAAATTATTATTTTTTTTTTTTTACATTTTTTCCCCTTTTCCAAGGGGAAAAGGGGAAAAAAGTGACATCTGCAAATAAAGATCTGCCAAAATTACAATCCGCACCATCTAAAATATAATCCATCTTCTTACACGCTTAATCCCAAGTGGGGTCGCAAGGGGTGCTGGTGCCTATCTCCAGCTGTCAATTAGGGGGAGGCGGGGTTCACCCTGGACAGGTCGCCAGTCCATCGCTGGGCAACACAGAGACAAACAGGACCAACAACCATTCACTCACACCTAAGGGGAATTTAAAGCAGCCAATTAACCTAACAGTCATGTTTTTGGATTGTGGGAGGAAGCCATGCAAACTCCATGCAGAAAGACCCCGGGCCAGGAGTCAAACCCAGAACCTTCTTTCTGCAAGGCAGCAGTGCTACCCACTCCAACACTGAGCAGCCTAAAATATAATAAATCATAATATTAAAAAGGACAGGGCTGATAACACTGCCTTGAGGGGTCCCATTATCAACAAAAAGTGCACCAGAAACCGATTAACAACTTTAACCTGAATATTTCTGGCAATCAAGAAGTGTTTAATCCAACTCAGCATCCTTCTCTTGATACCTCCCCACTCTGTGCACAAGGTGTAGCAAGAAGCAAGCCGTTGATAGCTGAGCAGGCCTCTGCGAGGTACATGTGTCTTGGTTTCCCCTACATGTCAGCTGCCTGGTGTGCTTGATCCGCTCATCTGAAATCATGAGTGCCATTTGTGCCACCTGTGGCTGGGATAGTGGTTGGGCTTTGGTGCTATACCTGCCGTGTGTTTCTGCAGCATTACTCTACTGGGGTTGGTGGCTGGAGCTGGAGGTTGTCAGCTGCTGGTCCACTTTCTTTCTGGTTAGGCTGTGTTTCCCCTCAGGGGGTTGTCTAGGAGCTGCAGTGCTTTGGACGCTCTGCTTTCTTGTTCTGACGGTATTTTTTTGGGCCGCTCTCAACAAAACCTGTTGCAGCTTGGACAGGCTGAGCCAGCGAGGCATGACTCCTCTGGACCCACTGAAAGGCATACTAAAGTGGACAATGGCAATTTGTCACACTGTTTGAAGTACTTGCTTTTTTATTTTACCGTTTGTTTGCCTATTATTGAAATGACTAATGTTTTCTATTGATTTACTAATTTGTTTCCTTTTACATTGCATGTTTTGTTTGTTAATTTATGCTTTTGGAGTAATTTAAATTGCCCTTATTTCCTATGATCCCTTTCTTTCAAGGAAACGAGTAGTAGGCCTGAAGCCATGTTTTAATACAATTAAAGAAATTGTTTGATAAAATATTGTGTGTGTTGCTTATAATATAATTTTAATACATTTCTATATTAAAATGCTTTTAAATTGACCCGATTTTATTTTTTCATCAGCTGTGTGCAAAAAAAACAAAAATCAATATATCAACTAATTGAGACTTTAAATCATCAGTCTGTAATTAAACTGGTT